CTGACGATTTGGAGGAAAACATCAGAACTGTCCTTGGAATGGAAAACAGGCGAGGAATTCTGCATGGATGGCTGGGGTTGCCAAGATTAGATGATGCTCATTGAGAATGGTGTGATAGGCCCCAAAGGCCCCAAGCCTGACCCCACCTTCACCTGCACAGGGCTATTCCTCCTCCTGACCAGAAATTGATGGCATTTTAATTTTTATTTATTTTTATTTTTTAACATTTAGGGAACCATATTCTTTTTTCTTTAATATTTTTTTTCATTGACTTCAGAGAGAAGAGAGAGAGAGAGAAACATCAATGATGAGAGAGAATCATTGATTGGCAGCCTCCTGCACGCCCCCTCCTTGCGGCTCGGGGGATCAAGCCCGAAATCCAGGCATGTGCCCTTGGCCAGAATTGAGCCTGGGACCCTTTAGTCTGCAGGCCAGCGCTCTATCCACTGAGCCAAATTGGCTAGGGCTTGATGGCAATTTTATACAGCAATAATGAACTGTCAGAGAAACTAAAAAAAATCCCATTTACCATTTCAAGAACAACAAAAATGATACCTACGAATAAACTTAACAGAGGTAAAAGTCCTATACTTGGAAAACTATAGGACATTGAGCCGTAGCTGGTTTGGCTCAGTGGATAGAGCATCCACCTGCAGACTGAAGGGTCCCAGGTTCAATTCCAGTCTAGGGCACATGCTCAGGTTACAGGTTCAATCCCCAGTAAGGGGCATGCAGGAGGCAGCCAATGGTTGAACATTGCCCTATGAACCAAGAGGTCACAGTTTGCCTCCCATTTATAGGCTTGATCCCTATGAGGGGACACACCCTGGAGCCAACTTGCTGCAGTCCCACCCCAGCTGGCCACCCCTGGGGCAGCACCGGGGCTCAAAGGGCATCTGCAGAGTGAGCAGAGTCCCTCTGGCAGGTGAGATCCCTTGGCCTGGCCTGTGGGGATGGGGCCAAAACCGGCAGTCCAACATCCCCAGAGGGGTCCCAGAGTGCAAGAGGGCACTCTGCAAAGTTGCTGTCACTCAGCAGCTCCTGCATTGAGCGTCTGCCCCTGGTGGTCAGTGCACGTCATACCTACCGGCCAGTCGGCCAGTCAGCTGGACACTTAGCCTTTTATATAGATAGACTAGGGGCCCGGTGCACGAAATTCGTGCACTGAGTGGGGGTGAGGGGGAGTGTCCCTCAGCCCAGCCTGCCCCCTCTCACATACTGGGAGCCCTCAGGCGTTGACCCCCATCAATCTCCAATCGCAGGATCGGCCCCTTGCCCAGGCCTGACGCCTCTGGCAGAGGCGTCAGGCCTGGGCAGGGGACCCTCATTTCCCCCCATCACTGGTTCTGCCCCTAGCCCAGGCCTGATGCGTCAGGCCCCCAGACCCCTCTGATTGCTGGCTCTGCCCCTTGCCCAGGCCTGATGCCTCAGCCAGAGGCATAGACCCCTATCACCCTCTGATCATCTGATCGGCCCCTGGCCCAGGCCTGATGCCTCTGGCCCAGGCGTCAGGCCTGGGCAGGGGACCCCCAGACCCCTCGGATTGCTGACTCTCTCCCTTGCCCAGGCCTGATGCCTCAGCCAGAGGCGTAGAGCCTCATCACCCTCCGATTGCCTGATCAGCCCCTTGCCCAGGCCTGACGCCTCCACCAGAAGTGTCAGGCTTGGACAGGGGACCCCCATCTCCCTCCGACCACTGGCTCTGACCCCCGCCCAGGCCTGAGGCCTCTGGCCCCGGAATCATGCCTGGGCAGGGGACCCCCATCTCCCTCTGATCGCTTGCTCCACTCCCCGCCCC